AGACCTTAGCTTCAGACCTTAGCTTCAGACCTTAGCTTGAGATCTTAGCTTGAGATCTTAGCTTCAGACCTTAGCTTCAGACCTTAGCTTCAGACCTTAGCTTGAGACCTTAGCTTCAGACTTTAGCTTCAGACCTTAGCTTGAGACCTTAGCTTGAGACCTTAGCTTGAGACCTTAGCTTGCATTGTAAACCTGCTTTCTACACAAAGGTTTACAGTTAATGAAACAAAGCTAAGCTCTATAGATGGTAAAACACTTGAAAATATGAAAGAAAATAAAGGATCATCAAAAGCTTGATGAACCATTTGGGGCTTTGACATCGAAGCAACATCATTTTCATCTTTAGAAACAATTGACTCTCAAAAAGAAGCCGTACATAAAATGTCAACAACAAACAAACAAACACTGGTCAGTGACTAATCATCAGAGACATAGAGCTCCAGGGCCAGGACAACCTGAGGAAAGGGACAGGGAGGGGGGGGGGGACACACTATGGGAGAGAGAGAGGACACACTACGGGAGAGAGAGGGGGGACACTACGGGAGAGAGAGGGGGGACACTACGGGAGAGAGAGGGGGGACACTACGGGAGAGAGAGGGGGGACACTACGGGAGAGAGAGGGGGGACACTACGGGAGAGAGAGGGGGGACACTACGGGAGAGAGAGGGGGGACACTACGGGAGAGAGAGGGGGGACACTACGGGAGAGAGAGGGGGGACACTACGGGAGAGAGAGGGGGGACACTACGGGAGAGAGAGGGGGGACACTACGGGAGAGAGAGGGGGGACACTACGGGAGAGAGAGGGGGGACACTACGGGAGAGAGAGGGGGGACACTACGGGAGAGAGAGGGGGGACACTACGGGAGAGAGAGAGGACACTACAGGAGAGAGAGAGGACACACTACGGGAGTCTTGGAGTCCTTCCTCACCTCTTGGCCTTGAAGCAGAAGATCGTCCCCCTTCATTTATTCATGTGTTGCAGTGAAAATACCAACCTTCTCTAACAGCTGGTGCTTATTATACACACGACTATGTGAATGTGAAAGCGACTTATCTCAAACATTTAGCTTCTCAGTTGTAGAATTTCTTTCTTTCTTTTTGCTTTACAGGCTCCACAGGAGCATTTTTTAATACGTCTTGTGCTAAATATTAACTGACTGCTCTGAAACAGTCTGGACTGAAGACCAGAGGGGACAAAAACCACTTCAGTGTAAAACGTCCTGACTGAAAAGTTCAGCTTTGCTAATGTACTTTAGCCTTAGATCACGTTATAATCCACGTTATGACCTTCATAAGAACTCGCACACTATTATTGCCTTAATAAGCATCAACTCACTTTCAGGTAAACTCATGCTTTGACTCTTCTTCCTCCTTTTTCTGTTTTGTAAAATGGTTTCAAAAAGGTTCAAGGTCTGTTTTATCGTCTTTTCCACACTTATGCGTAACATAATGTACGTGTACAATGGACCCTGGTGCAGCACAGGAGACGGATTAAGGACGAGGAGTTTGGATAGTTTGGATTTTTGTTTGTAAAGCTGCTATTTATAAAAGTTAATCCAATACTTCACACCTGGGGAGGTTGGTTTGTATTTGCTGTAACACAATAACACCTTGCCAAGCAAAGCTGACTTTCCTCTCTCGCTCTCTCACACACACACACACACACACACACACACACACACACACACACTAATCTAATAAGACATCTGACTATTATGATTGAATATATCACAGTTTCATTTTGCTGTCACCTCACATTTGCAGGTCTGCACCGTCCCACCGGGACAAATTAGCAGCACTGACTATCATTACAGAGTCAGCGCTAAAAATAACTGAAGGAATGTGTGTCCTTGATCACGTATCTTTTTTAAATTATTTATTTATTTATTTTAATTCACACACGATACAGCGAATATCAGATTCATGAAACGAGGAAATGACTAGGTTATAAGTTGACAAGCACAGAAAATGACAGTTTGTGTTTCCTCTACACAGTGAGGACATTTATGTAAACTGAACTTTGTGAAGCACCTTTTTGAGGATTAAGATTTGGTTTTGGTTCAGGTTAGGCATTTAGTTCTCATGGTTCAGGTTAGGGTTCGGGGCTAGTTTGGTCAAGCAATTTGAATTCTGTCAGTCAAGCGAAGGTGGATGGACACATGAATGGACAGAGGGCTGGAAGGTGGGAAGGACAGACACGACAGCTGAGTCGATGCAATTCAATCGGGAGAACTGGCACTGGAGATCGCAGGACCTGCTGAGGCGCCACTAAAGATAGAAATCCACAGTTCACCCCTGACACCCTGCCCCCTCACCAGTTACTCCGGTAGCTCATGTTTCATTGTGTGCTCACCTTCACAAAACACACACACACAAAGTCTAAACTATGATCCAAACATAAGATAAATCTGTTCATCTGTGCTAATCACAGTGTTTGTTATGTCGCTCAGTGCAGCTGGTTGAATAATTAATAGTGTGGTAACTTCAGGTATTTTAGCACCTGTACACACATTTCCCCACAATGAGAAGACAACCTTTATGCTGCGCACACTGTTTCTATTTATATGGAAATAATCCCTCTGCTTGGTGTCCATTGTGTCCATTGCTTATGATATCATCTTACAGATGAATGTGGAAGGTTACACAGATAAGTGAGTCCTGTGAGGACCCTGCTGGCAGCGAGCGACACCACGTTTCATTGGGTTTTGTCTAAAGTTTGGATCAATTCAATTACTGCACCTTTTTCTTTCATTTCACAACCAGCAATATCATCTTTTTTCAGTCCTCTCATCCTTCTTCCTTGTCAAAGCCTGATGTCCACATTACCCACAGTGCAACTTGCCAGACTGCAGCGTGCCACGCTAGAGGCAGCTAACGTAGCTTGGAGCCTCCAGCCTCAGTCACAGATCAGGAGAGGTCACCTCGCCTCTTTACACCTGCAGATCTTGGTGACATCACTTGAAGCCGTTTCAGATTTCATGCTGCTTCGTCTTTTTTCACCGATGTAGTAAAAGTAAAAGCAGCGTAAAATACTCTGCTACAAGTCCTGCATTCAAAATGTTAAAGCACAAAAGGTATTAGCATCAAAATATACTTCAAGTACCAAAGGTAAAGGTACTCATTATGCAGAATGGCACATTCCCCGTGAACATATATCATATTAGTAGATTCTAAGTATTCATGCATTATTGTGTTCTTAATGCTACAGCTGGTGAAGGTGGAGCTAATATTAATCACCTTATAATGTGAAGTACTTTACATACTGCTGGTTAGCTGGTTGTTTTCCTACTGGAATCAACTAAGTCTGATGATTATAGTGTATTTTGTTTTATTCTGAAAAGTAAATCAAGTTGCCAAATACATGTGGTGCAGTAAAAAGTATTAAGTAGCAGAAAATGTAAATACTCTCGTATTGTACACAGTAAGTACCTTAAAGATGTACTTAAGTACAATTCTTGAGTAAATATACTTCCCTCCACTGCTCTCAGAGACCTGTAAACAGACTGAAGTGTCAAAGTGAGTGGATTTCCCTTTTCAAGGCTGGCTTGACTTTCTCAATAAGAGGCCTGGAGCTGGCGTCACTGAGACCTCGGTCCTTCCCTGGTCTGAGCGAAGCCTTTTAACAACCTACACCCAACGACACATGGGGCATTTTTCAACTAAATTCATCTGCCAAAGCGCGTCGCTTCTCCTCGTTGGGCCCTGCTCGTTTCATTCCAGGGCTTTTCACCATGTGACAAACTTAACATGCACACACGTCAACAGGGTCGTCTTACACATGCCTGAGCCTATTTGTGGGCTCCTCAAACTGCTAACATGGTTGTTCCTGCTCTGGCTCAGGACTTGTATGTCAGTTGAAACAGGTCAAAACTACGATCAGCTTCATAAGAGAATCACTTCCCTTTAGGATTGGGAAGTTTTGACGTTACATGTGGAGCTAGAAGATGATTCTGTATCAGTCATTTATATTAAACTTTCAGCTTTCTCTGTCAGTACAGGAACCACAGCCATAAGATGATGTACAGTGTAGATAGGAACATCAGAAACCTGTGCCAGAGGAAGCTGTCGGAGGCCAAGACTGCCAGTTGTTCCATGTGTGAATACATATAACCCTGGAGTACTCCCCAGGGTCTCTGCTCTAAGTGCTATCAGACCTCACACCAGCTCAAACAACCTCTATAAAATACTGCATATACACTTGGACTACGTGTCTGTGACTCCTGCCGTACTGCTTAAAATGCTTTCTAGCAGTCAGGATGTCTAAATGACACAAACCCTAAACTAAAATACAAACAGGCACCTTAGAACTGTAATGATGAAATCACAAACAGCAGTTTATTCTGTAGTTGAAGGTCATTTTCAGGTCTCCACAAAGCTGGAAACACCTTAAGACTGGGTATGTGCTCCCTGTCTGCTTCCTCAGAGTCACACAATGCATCAAAATATACAGCGTCGACAGAAATACATACAATTCCAGGCAGAGTCAGACACCGGCCACATTAACAGGAACACCTGGCATGACTCCAACACGTCACCACAATCTACAAACCCAAAGTGTAACCGTATCGACTTCACAGAGGTTGTATCTAATGCAACGCTACTGCTGTAGACGGCAGTGAACTGAACACACGTCCACCACCTGTATGCCTACATGCACACTGCTGCACATGCAAACTGTACCAACTCCACAGTCTCATTTGTGCCTCTAACAGAGTTCAGGCTGTGAAAAACCTGCTGCTGAACTACGACAGCTTCACACAGACATCACAAAACAAACACAAAAAACATGTTTTGTTCAATATCATGTCCTTTAATGTGCAGCGGGTCCAGAAATGCCACGATGTTCTGTTCGTTCCACTCATGAGTCACACAACAGTCATTATAAATTATTCACACGGTGTTCCTGGTTGCATAATCGTCCTTGATGCCAGTTTCTCTGGGGCAGCTGCAGGGTTCTGGGGCTGTTTGGCTCTGTGGTGGAGGTTGGGGGGGTCAGTGGTGTACGGGGAGTGCTGGTGGATACAGTGACAGTCTAAACTGGGCTACTGGATCTGGTCCACAGTTGCATTCAAGCTATAGAACTGAATGAACAGAAGACACATGCGGCCCACATCAGTCAGCACGACCTTTGAGTTTTACTTTCAGGGGTTGTGGTAAAATGGTACTTTTATATGTAAAGTACAGCTCGTACACCACTTTGGGCTGCAGCACATCAAATCAAATTAACAGCTTGGCAACTCATGTTTCAAATACGTTTTGCTTTATCGTGATCATTAACTGCTTTCTGCTGATTCCTATACTTATGTGTGTGTGATTGGCCACTGCATTAACACTTTGTAACTGGTTGCTATGGTAATGAACACAACTGTCATCTGCAAATATTCTGTTACAAAGGCAAACTGAAGGAATGGACACAAAGCTGTAGCATGCGTGTAATAAGACGGTATGTGCTGAGTGCAGGAGAGGAACATTTGTAGAGACCAATTCAAGCACATTGATTGATTTATCAGGTCAATCACATACCTGGAGACAGGCTCAGGAATATTCAGCATTAGACTGCACAGGCACATCTGCATGTTTACAGCTGGGAGTGATCATTTGGGATGTAGAGTTGGTTGTCATCAGCATACACATCCCAGATTTACATGGGTGTAGGTGGAGAGTGGCAGCAGGCCCAGAACAGAGCACTGAGCATTACCAGTATGAATCTGCAGCCATGACGATTTCATTGGTGGTTTAGGGAAACTGGATGTGTCACAAGCCAGCATGCGCTTTATCTGCACACACAGCAGCTTTGTCCATTTCCCGGCATGTCCGAGTGTTCAGACCAACATGGTTTTCCTAAAGAAAAGAAGAAGAAAGAGGCAGTTTGAACAATGACTACTGCAGCTCCTACCATGAAATACAGATAACAGTGCTGGTGGGAAACCATGTCCTCCATCTATAAACCACACACAGAAATGTTTTTAATGTCCACATTATGCAGTTTTTACCTTGGCAGCGTAGTTAGTTACAGTTACATTTTCAAAGCTCTGTCTGTTTGTAGGCCAATGAACTAGATGAATCACTGAACTGTACTGAATTTAAACTGAAAGTCTGCAGGTTCAGCACATTGAAATGACAGTACCCGCGTAATGAGGACGATCAGGATTCAGCATAAAATTAAATTAAATAAATAAAACAGGAATGCACACAGCACATACACATACACGGACACCAAAGAACACTCACATTCTAATACACACACACTAAAGAGACATTTGCTTTTCCCTCCTCTGTCAGAGGTCACAGCTTACGACAGCCTGTTGCTATGACACACACATTCACATGGCTCCAGGTAACAGGCTGGTATGTGATCATTATGGTGACGTACTCTAACACAGAGTGGTTCATCTACGTCCCAGTTATTAGACAGACACAACTCAACCTGCTGCAGACATGAAGAAACATGGAGGAGGGATTCAGTATGTGCATGGATGCACGCGCTAGTGCAACATAAGGGTGCACGAGGTCAGACTCCCCTTTTGGAGGTGGGGGGTACGTAACCCTGTTACAACAGAGATTTGAGAATGAGAAAACTGACACGTTCACATTTGCATTTAATCTAGTTTTACTATCGTGTAAGTACCAGACACCAAACACCACTGTGCAAGGTAAAAACACTGGCCAGTGTTTTCATGCTGTTCTAAATCCCCTGCATGAAGCTGTGACTGCACATGTACCTAATACAGTACACGGGTGTATGAGGGTGCTCGTGGCTGCTGTGGCAGGAGTCTGAGCATTTCCACAGCAGCGTCCTGCAGCACAGAGCAGGCAGAAGGTGAAAGGTTGGACCGAGGGGCTGCAGCTGTTGCCTCGTCTCTCGCCTTGACTGTTGTGTGATGTTTGTTCTTGCCTTTTAGAAACTCAGCCGGGCACAGATGACCACGTGCGGCCAATCAAACGAGGGGACTCCGAGCCCAGTTGGCCAATGGGGGCAAAGGTCTGGGTATAAATGCTTAAGTCCATCACCTGGCAGAGTTGGGCATCCCCTACATTTGGTGGACAGGATCTGATCCCGGGATCTGTTACCTTTTTCTTTTCTCCTGAGCAGGTAAAACCACTAAACAATTCTTCAGTAAGGCTTTTTGATTAGTTCATGTGAACGATTGTGGACAAAAACCTGATCAACATGGCTCAAAGAAGGCAAAACGTTTTTCAGACAGATTCCTCCACTGATGAACTCTGGAGCCATGAAAACCTTTTCTCGTGTTCTCGTCTCGGATTCTTCTGAAGCTTTGCAAATTCTATCTTCACATGGAAACTATCAAAATCTACTATGATCATCCTTCAGTGCACATTGTAGCCTGAAGCTTAGTCTTTGACCTGACACTCTTGATTTCCTGGCTGTGGGGCGCAGGCGTCTGGTTAGTACGTTCGGTGTAGTGTCACTGAAACAGTTGTGACTATCAGCTGTTGCTGACGCCAGCAGGGCAGGCCTGGTGTCAGTCTTTGAATAGTTTAGATGCTCTTGACTTAGTCATGGGACTTGTGGAGGCATCTCTGAGGCATGCAAGCTTTGACCTTTCAGACGGCGTACCAGGTGTCACTCTAATGTCACTCTAATGCAACTCAAGCAACTGCCCTGACTGAGCTTTGGCCTTGGTCTGACACACAGAGAGATCAGCCCAGAAGCAGAAGGGCAGAGCGATGGCTAGCAGATGTACACGGGTCAATTCTGCAGCTCTGTTGGTTTCAGCTGCGCATTTAGACCTTTTTTATTAAAGTAATGTGTGTTAATATAGCAGCTCATTAAGTCTCTAGTTTTATGTAACAGATGTGTGAGAATGTACAAAGATACTGTGTGAAACCCTGTACAGTAGCTCCCTGGGGGGGGGGGGGGCCAACAGAGGGGCAAAGCCACACTATTAATAGTCTTTGCTGTGAGCATGAGACAGGCAGAGGCAGGAAGACTGACAGAGAGAAAAGACAAGACACTTGAAAACTTGAAGAATCGCCAGACAACGAATGGAACCAGACAGATAGATACTTTATTAATCCAGAGGAAAATTCAAGAAAGACACGTGCGGCACCCAAAGTACGGTGCATGATGACTACACCAGCAGCACAGTGGTGTCGTAGGTTGCTTTGGTACATCACAGCTACACATGATTACCAAAAGGCATTTGATAAATGCATCTTGCAGCTTTTAAACAATAAACTTCCCTCGATCAGGGCGGCTTCTACAAAACGTGTCTGATTTAATACAATAAGAACAAAAAGTGACTGTGTACCGTGTTGCCCTGCATATAAATACTCTGGTCTTATTACAGCCGTCTAAGTCATTAACATATCCTCTCATTTTCTGGCCTCCTTTCAGACGGAGTAAGAATCGCAGCCATGACGAAGAACTGCCACAACGACTACAAAATGAAGTTTACCACGGATGAGGAGTTCCCTGATCTGTCCCAGCACAACAACCACATGGCCAAGGCACAGTCCTACTCTGACACTGCCACACACCTCAAACACAGGCACCAGTAACTCATAAACGTCACTTATAGCATCCATATTCTCATTGTTGTTTTTGGAAGCCATAGAGCTAAAATACCTAATGCAGCACAACATTAAAGACAGAAGACATCATGTCAATGTGTAATCACTGACCGACACCGTGTGCCTTCTGCTGCAGGCGTTGACCAAGGAGATCTACGAGAAGCTGAGGGGCAAGTCCACCCCCAGTGGCTTCACCCTGGACGACGTCATCCAGACTGGGGTCGACAACCCTGGTGAGAAACACCACACACCTGCAAAGAGTCTGTGGAGACAGAAATGAACTGAAGCAAAGGCCTGTAGTCGCTATGTCATCATTATGGATGGCCCCCAAACCCCAGCATGCATCTAAATGTAACTGGAAGGAGACGCAGGACTTATGTATCAAACTTTAGAATCGGGGCTAAAGGTCTGTTAAGTTTTCTCCCCAGCTGTTACTTTAAGTCCTGGAATGTCCTCTGACACGGCGGCACAGGGACGTCAGTCAGCAGACCAGGAATGTGCCAGACATGAAAAAAACACTTACATTCCTCATCCTCCCTCTCTTCCCCAAGGCCACCCCTTCATCATGACCGTGGGCTGTGTTGTCGGTGATGGGGAGTGCTACGAGGTCTTCAAAGATCTGCTGGACATCGTCATCTGTGACCGTCACAGCGGATACAAGCCTACCGACAAGCACAGGACCGACCTGAACTATGAGAACCTGAAGGTGAGGAATGAAGACGCGCATGATAGTGAGCAAGCTTACACACCAACTGAATGAATCATGTAAAAAATGACTGGTTACATTTATGACTTCAACATTGTTTATCCGATTCCTTGTGGCTAACGCAAGCGACAAAGTCAAGTGTGCACAATAGGCAATAATGTGTCTGTTGTGTGTGTCCCGTCGTCTTCTGGCAGGGCGGTGACGACCTGGACCCCAACTACGTGCTGTCCAGTCGTGTTCGTACCGGCCGCAGCATCAAGGGATTCACCCTGCCCCCCCACAACAGCCGTGGAGAGCGCAGAGCCATCGAGAAGCTGTCCATTGAGGGTGAATGTCAAACTAACACACCAACACAGATATGTGCAGAAGGCAGAAACTGATTCCTTCCACTGTTCTTCCTCTCAGCCCTGGCCAGCCTGGAGGGTGAGTTCAAGGGAAAGTACTACCCCCTGGATGGCATGACTGACGCCGAGCAGGAGCAGCTGATTGCTGACCACTTCCTGTTCGACAAGCCCGTGTCCCCCCTGCTGACCTGTGCTGGTATGGCCCGTGACTGGCCCGACGCCAGAGGCATCTGGTGAGACACAGGCAGAACAGAAACACAAATGAAAATCTGGTTTACTAAGGTTCTCCTTGTTTAGAAAGTAAAACGGTGATCGGTATGTGCTATAACACAAACAGCCACCCTCTGAGATGAACCCTCACATCTGGCCAACCTTTAAAACCTGCACCATCCGTCTCCCACAGCCTTTACATAGAAGCCCTAGTCACTTCTGTTTTCAAACATGTGTTACCATGAATCCCTCCCCTTACAGGGGGTGCAGCTCCATGAAATGACACACTCAGCTTTGGGTGAAACTGAGCTGGACTTTCTTTCTGCAGGCACAATGAAAACAAGACCTTCCTGGTGTGGGTGAACGAGGAGGATCACCTGCGTGTCATCTCCATGCAGAAGGGGGGCAACATGAAGGAGGTCTTCAGACGCTTCTGCGTCGGCCTGCAGAAGGTGACACACAAAACATCACAGCATACTTTCACATTTACAAACATTCATGCACAATTCAACCCACACAAAGTAAAAAACCTGAGGCTGAAATGAATGAAAGCCCTAGCTCTATGGAATAATAAACCACGCATTTTTAAGAATGACACTTTATGTATAAAAATGAGGTGCACGGCGTTCTTTCCTTAGTTAACTTTAGCCACGCCCACCCGCCCTCTGGCTCCATGTATGTCTTCATGGTCGTTAGACAACTGCATTGTGTTTAACTTCTTTCTACAAACATTATCCATCTAGTCATACTACATATCAACCATCAAGCATCATTTATGTCACTTTGCTCCACACCGCTCAGATTGAGGCGATCTTCATGAAACACGACCATGGCTTCATGTGGAATGAGCATCTGGGTTATCTCCTGACCTGCCCTTCCAACCTGGGAACCGGCCTGCGTGGTGGCGTGCACGTCAAGCTGCCCAAGCTCAGCACACATGCCAAGTTTGAGGAGATCCTGACCAGGCTGCGTCTGCAGAAGCGTGGCACAGGTATTGAAGTCAGAACAATAACATCGATCTTCTCACAGCTACTGATACATTAGTATTGTCAGGGAAACTTCTGGAGTTTGAGACTAGTCAGAGCTGCACTGAACGTTAACATCTGAATTGATCACAGAAACTAAATTATAATTATTGTAAATAGTGAAATGCTACTGTAGCTAACAGGTTAACCTGAGTAAGATACAAAACAAAAACCATTTTTAAATTATTCATCGCATAACATCGAAACCTTTGCACTGAAAGAAGGAAAACAAGCTGCAGAGCTTTAGCTTTTGCTAGAGCTAATGGCTTTCTACACTATTATTTTTGCATTATTTGCTACATTTGTCTTTTCTCTTCTGTGTCTCTTACCTAATGGGTCATTTTCAACAAAATATCCAGCAACAAGTGGAAGTGAAGTGCTCGGGCACTAGGTTCCTCTGGCTGTTTGCCTGCCACATCCAAAGAACTGTGAAAACAGTTACACCATAAACACCCGAGATAAAAACTGCAGCATCGTTTTGTGAACTTGACCCATGTTGCTTGGGTCAGCAGACTTACTGTTGTCCCTCTTCCCCCTGCAGGTGGTGTGGACACAGCCTCCGTGGGCGGTGTGTTCGACATCTCCAACGCTGACCGTCTGGGCTCCTCCGAGGTGGAGCAGGTCCAGCTGGTGGTTGACGGTGTCAAGCTGATGGTTGAGATGGAGAAGAAGCTCGAGAAGGGAGAGTCCATTGACGGCATGATCCCTGCTCAGAAGTAAAGTGAACAGACAACCAGTGACTGAAGGACTGTCTGTGTTTGTTTTTTTATATTCTAAAAAATGAACGGGTAGCCTTGATGCAAAGTTCTCTTACTTGTTACACGGCTACTTTCTGCCTACTCCTTTCCATCAACAAGACACTCCACCTTTGTCTCAGCTTTTCTTACTTCAGTTTTCCTGCTTTTTCTTTGGTTCTTCCTTCTGATTTCCCGTCACTGTGACCCCCTCTCTCTCCCACTCTCTGTAACATCCTGGGATCAATCCACGCATAGTCCGGTCATGGCTATGTGCACGCACCAAAAGGAATAAATGTTTTTGGCTGTAAAATATAACTGGACAATTAAACTATGCCCCATGTAACATTCAAACTATCTAACTTGTGTTTTCTTTAAGGGACGCACACAGCTCTTTTGCAACTACTCATACCAAACCTTCACTGATGTGGTTTTACTTCCATGAATAAATATATTTTAATATGAAGAAAAGTAAACAAAATCCTTGATTATCGGTTTTCACTGGGAACACACACACACACACACACACACACACTATACATCAATTCAATGATAACAAAGTAACTTGTGTCAAAGACGTTCAATCTGGGGGCTGCTGTGCTTCAGGAGGTAGAGCAGGTCGTCTCCTCACCGGAGAAACGACCAATTCCAGGCTTGTTCAGTCCACATGTTGAAGTGTCTCTGAACAAACAATGAACCCCGGTTGCTCCTGGTGTATGAATGTGTGAGTGCGAATGGGTGAATGGGTGAATCGTGTGAAAGCACTTTGAGTGGGCTGCAGTGCACGATTACATGAACAGGCTCATGGGCCAGAGCATCTGAGTGAAGTGACATCTGTTGTTGAAAAGTCAATAAAACGACTACAAAGAGACAAAAATGGGTAAAAACAAACTAATCACAAAAAGATGCAAAATGATTCAAGACCTTAAATGACTGTACTAATCACAAAAAGATGCAAAATGATTAAAGACTGAAAATGACTGTAAAGAGACGGAAACCAAGTACAAAATGACACTAAATGAGTGTGATAACACACAAAACGTGCAAGATTACCTCAGATTAAAAAAATGAAGTATCAAATAACGACCAAGTTGACTACATAAAGGCAAAGTGACTAAAATAAGCAAATATACTGCAAAAAAGATGCAAAAGGGCCACAACTACATGTAGAAAAAGTAAAAGACAAAACTGCAGAGATGCAACAGAAAGATACAACTACAACAAAGGGTCTCGCTCACATATATGAGGGAGGGGGCCTTTACGTGGCTGTGCCCAGGGCCCAAAGTCACAGTCTGTCCATTCATATGTGAGAGGGAACAACAGACATACAATACAACAGAGGTTGAAAGTCTTTATTTTTGTGTCGCACGTTATTTCCTAGGAGACATGCAGGATTGCAGGTCGAACATTTCTGTAATTTCATCCCATGTTAAGTTTTCATGATAACAGCTTCAAACACGCTATACAACAGAAGTGCATCCTTAAAGCAGGCTGCTACCTGGAGAACAGATCCAGTGAGGCCCAGCAGTACACAAAAAAGCCCTAATTCACAGCTTGACATTTTCAGACAGTGGTGGACTCCTGCCGTGGCTGAAAACAGGCAAACACATGCTGTGGATCTGCAACATCCAACTTTAGTCCATTACTGTAAAAGTACAAGTTGTAGTTGCTTCACTTTATAGAGTCACAATGCAACAACCTCTTGATGTTGAAGTTGTCAGTGTCAGTGCAGCAACACATGATCGATGGAGCACTTGTTGGACTCTGCACATGATTTTGTTGAATTTGTTATGTTTTTACACAAGAAAATCCAAAAGTCTAATTTGACAA